CTATGCTCCCAACAAATAGATTAGAGAGAGAAGAGAGGTCTTGTTATCTACTGTACTTGCATTTTCTAATGGTTTTATTTAAGCTGCCTTACAAAGATATACGAAAGAAAGGTAGTTGTGAATTTTTGAATTATTTATTATGAATATTAGCTCACATCACAATTGTGTATAACATTATTCAAATGTTGTTCTATTTTAAATAAAGAGATTTTTTTAATACATGAAATTTTTATATTATAGTTAAAAAAAGTATATCTATTGCTTTAAGACTTTTAAATCTTTGAACTTTTGTTATCTTTGAATCATATTGTTGTAAGTCATAAAGACTTATAACATCACATGCCCAACTTTCCTAATTTTTTTTTTAGTTGTATTATTTCGTAATTATATTTTTATTCAATTTTATATGTAAATATAAAAATATTTGAAAAGCTTTATTAAAATATAATACTTTACTTTTAAAGCAGTTAAAAATAGAAAACAATGAACACAAAAAGTGTTTTCTCCAGCTGATAATTGTTTTTAAATTATTCAACTCTTGATTCGGATTGTGAAATTTATCATATTTGACTAATCCAAGTGTTTTTTTATGATCTTGAAATGCAGTTGATTGCAGAAATCTTCATGTTTTCATTACTCGTACAATTTTTAACTCAAGACTTCTGTCAATCGTATTCTTGTTTTTAACTTTTTTCCATGTGTACTCCCAACTTAATAGTTGCTTGTACCCATGTTGGAAGTAAGTTTGTTTAAAAAAAGAAAAACAACTTAATTTGTTGGCTATAAAAATGATTTTCTATAAAAATGATTTTCTATAAAGATTTTTTGAATAATCTTCTGATTTTGATTTTACTCTTGACATATCAAACATTTTTGAAGTCTGACATCTTGATCTCTTCCATAAGCTGTCTTTTATTGGCATATCAAATTTACAATATTGTTAAAAGGAACATCTTAAATATAAAAGAACCAGAACTTGTGGCTGTTGCAGTTTTAAAGTCAATAGTATTTTTTTCTAGTATAACCGTTTTTGTTGATTTTTGTTACATTTTTATCCAACAAATCAGGAAACATGTTGAATCTCTTTTAAATATATATGGAATTGTCTAAAAATAAATATATAGGAATTTTTACTTTTTAGGACTTTTTTTTCTTGCATGAATGGTAATCATACTGGTGTTATTTTACTGGTCTTAGTAAAGATTTATGAAGATATCTTTATAAATCTTTACATATTATATTATGGTATGTTATGCAACAAATAATTATTATATGGCTTATCAAACACAGAGTTAAAATGGTTTGCAGGCTACTTTTTTTAAATGAGATCAGTTAGCTGAAGTAAACAGAGAATGTTTTAATGATTTTTATAAGTGCTCAATAGAAGATAATTTTGCATGCTGATAATACTCTTTTGCATGCTGACAATGCTCTTTTGCATGCTGATAATGCTGTTGTATATTTCTCAGATATAGGCATCATTGTGATTAAAAATAAACTTATTGTAATTAAATTTTATTGTTGAAAAATCAGACGAGATGAGACTCGTTAAATGGCAAGAAATTCTGAAAAAAACGCAGAAACGAAGATTTCTATGAATTTTTTTCATATAAGTTTATTATAATTCGATTTTTGTAAACTTTATTTTATGAAAAAATCAACGCTTTATTATGCTTTTTATGTTCATATACTAACACTACAAGAAATTAGAAATTATAAAATTTCATATTTACTTTATAACAGTAAATTGGTCCCGATCAGCATCTGTACCCATTGCACCATCTACTGGATGATCCTCAGGAAGGTCAGATCTCAGGCGCCATTTTCGGATTATAACATGTTTTAACAAGAAAGAAAAAAAGTCACATCACTTTTTTAACATGACAATTACTTAAATTTCATGTTAAGTGTTTTAAGCACTTAATGTAAAATAAACTGTCCTATTGAAATTACGAATAATTTGTTAACTTTTGGCTGTAAAAACTTAAAAAAGCGTTTTTAAGAAGTAATCCCACCGTGAAATTACAATTTATTTTATTACTTTTTGTAAAAGTTTTTTTTTTTTAATTAATGAGTTTCACCTAATCAAAGTTCTGCTGGATGTAAATCAACTTGTCAACAGACTCGGTTTGAAGCTTTGTTCATTTAATTGTAACGATTTGCCTGCCTACTGAGCAGACTCTTTTAGATTTTGTAGAGGAGATAGGAATGCACAACCAACGTCGAGCTTCTTTTGTCAGTAAAGGAAATATAGCCTTATTTTTCCACCATTCTAATGCCTTGCACCATCTGTCTGTTTTTAATCTATTCATAGACATATAAGTGTTCCATTTTGTCTCAATATCGCTCATGCACTTAATATTGACAGTAAATTTAATGACCTCATCGTCTTTGTCAACTTCATCAGTAACAGTTTATGTTCGAACTTTATTTTGTAAGTCAATGTAGGATTTATGTGAGTATGCAATATAGGATTTAGGTGATTATACAATGTAGGATTTTTGTGAGTATACGATTTCCATGATATCTACAAATTCCTATTATTCATATTAAATTATAGTTTTACTAAAACAGTTTTTATAAGACACAGACACACACATAAATATATATACACAGTTTTTATTATGATTTATATATATTTATATATATATATATATATATATATATATATATATATATATATATATATATATATATATATATATATATATATATATATATATATATATATATATATATATATATATATATATACATGTAATGTTTTTCCTTCTTATTTATTATAAGAAAGAGAATTGCTTTAATATTTGTCTGACATTTATTTCTATATCTATATATTAAATTTGTGCAACTAATTATTATATTAACTTCTTGTGATTATTTCAACATTTATTGAGTTTAGCACAATGGCTTCTAAAGGAGAATTCCTTATACAGAATTAGTCTCTTAGGGAATACATTAACAATCATTTTCTGTATAATTATCCAAAAGAAATGACTTATTATGCAATTGCTAATTGTTTGTCTGAATGATTGTTATAAATTATTGTCCGGATGAATTGTTTGCGTAGCAATCATTACAATACATTATAATGTGAAATTATAATTATATAAGTATATGATATATACATTATAATAAAGGCTTTCACGGGAAGGCCTAGGATGGCACGTCTTTATTGATCACTCATAAAATAATATGTTTTAACGATTTGACCACGGCTTTTGACATATTTTCAAAATTTAAAAATGCGCTACAAGAACTTACCTAAACTTATCTATAAAAAAGAAGAAAAAAAATCTTAACGAACAAGAAAATAAAAAAAAAACTTAGTCATCAAACTAAAATGTTTAGTCTATTTAATTTACGCATTAAAAAACCATTTAATCTTTGTTTTAACATTTGTACTTATTTTTTTTAGTTTAATATGTTTTAAAAGAAACATTTCTCATAAAAAATACATAATTATATAAATAAAAAAAACAACAGTGTATTAATACTTATTTTAAAAATTAATTAGAAGTGTTTTTAACTATTCTTATATTAAAATTCATTAAAAAGACTTTTCGTAGTCGTAGAATGTCATTGTTTATAAAAACAAAACAATTTTTTTATTTTTTAATAATGTTTATTATAGAAATGCACACTTAAACGATTTATTTATTATAAATTTAAAAAATATATACAACTGTCAATTATATTTAAAAAAAAACCATTATCAGTAAATTGTTACTTATTTAAAAATATTTCGCTAATATAAAAACATTTGTTAAGAAGTTTTGATGTATTTAATTTCTCTTTTTCAGAATATTTTTCATTTAGCAAGTTTTTTAAATGTTTTTTGAATTAGCCGCGGTCAAATCGTCATAGCAAAATGTAATTTGCCTGGTCATATAAAGATGTGCGATTGCGTGCCTTCCTGTGAAAGCCTGTAATGTGAAATTATAATTATATAAACATATAATTACATATTATAAAAACAAATAAATAAATTCAAAACAATATCACGAGGAATGAAGTTTCTTATTTGAGAATTTTTAAAGAACTTTCATTTTTTAAAAACATTTTTAAAGAATTTTCTCACTTAAAATTAAAAAACTTTGTAGACAAACAACGGTCTCTTATTGGCTATATTAAATAAGCAATTAGAGACTATAAATATTAGCATTACCTAATATTTTGCAAGAGAAAAAAGTGGTAATTTTTTTTAAAAAAATGTTAATTTTCATTAAATTTGGTACAGCAAAAGAATTACAGGTTTTTTGATAAAACCTTATTTTGTCTTGTTATAACCAGATGGCAACGGTATATTAAAAAATAACCAAATGTCTTCTGAAACAATAAATTGCTGCATTTCGTTTTGTCAATATCACTAAAATTACCGTTTAGTTACGAGATGCAACAGCTTACTCATATTACTGATGTCTCTCCTCAAATTAAATTTTATATAAGCTTACCTTGGAAGTTAAACTTCTTAGTTTTATGATCACAATAAAGATATTCCAGGTCATATTTAAATATATGAAACTATGGAAACCCGTTCAAATTTCACATGCATGAAACTATGTACAATAACTATTTGTATAACTAAGTCTTTTATGTTTATGTAGGTTATTAACTTTGAAAACATAACTGTATATGATTACTAACATCTGCTAAGTGACATTTTTATAGATCCTTGTCCATCTATACCCCTTGAAGTAAAAAGATATATGCTGGATATGTTTACAGCATCAGATGGTAGATATCGGTATTTCTCTTAATAGTTTGTAGTTTGTTTGTTTTTTCTGGTTTTTTTTTTTTTTTTTCATTTTGTGTTTATGTTTAAAAAGACTTTTTAAACTTTCATTTTTTAAATTGTTTTTTTTTTGTTGTTACAGTACCATCCCAACAAAGTACAAAGATAAGTTGCTATGTTACATTCTTGTTTTGTCACTGATTATTGAAGGTTTTCAAATGGATTGCAATTTACTCTTAAAAGATTTAAAACTGACAGTTCCAAAGTAAATTTTTTTTACTATCATTTTAGTTGCATTAAAACAATAGACGAAAATGGTTTAATATATTCAATGTTTTTTTGTTGTTGGTGGTGAATTTACTTAGAGTTATTAGAAAACACAAAATTCTTAACAAATATAATGTAATTTTAGATAAAGCCACAGTTTAGCGCTCTAAAATAATTTTATTTTTTCACTTGTTGCACTCTTGTAAGTGAAATTTTTAAGCATTAGAAATTTTAATTGAAATAATAAAATAAAAAAGATTGCTGCTCTATGCCAAATCATTAGTCAATGTAACAGCACTTTCTTGTAGAAGCAGGCTATAAGATAATGGGTGTTATGTAAAGATTTCTAAAAGTTTAGGAATATTGTGGTACAAAAAGAGTTGCTATCCAGTTTTGGGCAACAAACTCTTTTTTCATCAAAAATGTTACCTGCCTTTGATAATAGTCTCATTTTTAATGTTTCTAAACTTTTAAATAGTTAAAAAGTATAGGATACCTTATACAGTAAATGTTTTATGTAAATATATATATATATATATATATATATATATATATATATATATATATATATATTACATATATATATATATATATATATATATATATATATATATATATATATATATATATATATATATATATATATATATATATATTATAGGTTATAAATATATATTATATAGCTAAGGTGCAGGTTTCACTTTCAATCTTGAAGGTAAAAAACTACATAAATGTAAATCTGGTTCTGGCCGGAATTCAAAATTTTCAATCTGGTACACCCCTAATTAAAACTTTTGTTTCTTTTTATAATTTAAAAATTATTTTAAAACCTTTATTTAAACCTGTAATTTTCTTTTTTATTTAGATTATAAAACATTCAGTAATTTATTATATTATACAATAACAATTTCAAGTGCGCATAAAATTGATCCACTAAGTAATATTAAATAGGTTGATAGATATACAATTTATAAATAATATTGCATATATGGAAAGGTTTTAATTCTTAAAATCCATTTAAAAAATGATTTGCATGCTACATGAACCAACTAACTGTGTTAACCACATAGTAAAACCACAATAAAGAAAACTCTGTAGTAAGGTTTAAAATCTTGTTTAAAATAGTATACAGCAATGTTTAAGCAAAAGCAACTAAAAAGCACAAAAACAAAAATTTTAATTAGAAAAAGGACGCTATAAACTTTGTAGAACAATAAAAAAAAGTTTTTATAAAACAAAACAAATTTAAAAACTATTCAACTTTAAAACTAATAAAAACAAAAAATTGATACTATAAAGTTTTTATAAAACTTTAAAATTATTAAAATTAAAATTTTTTTTAAATTATCAATACTACTACCAGTATTTCAAAAATTAAAACAAAATTGTTTTACCAAAATTTAAAAATATTGCAAATATTCAAATATAATTTAAAATATCTAAATTTAAGTCGTAATATAAATAATAGTCACACGACTAAACTATAAGTTTAGTCGTGTGCGACTATTCTGTATATAAGTTTTTTGAATAGTTGCACACAAGCAGTGAATGTCTGAAGGAAAAATGAAGTACATTAGAATAAAGGAGAGTTATTTTTTGAACAAAGCATATTGAGACAGTTGTCAAGACAAAAATAAAGAATAAAAGAAGGGTATTTAAAAATTTACTAATATGATCTAAAAAAAATTAAGGCAGACTTTGCACCCAAATAATACTTAAAATAATAAAAAATAACAATTTTTATAAACACTTCAAATAAACAAAGATATACAACAAATATATCACCAAACAAAAACTTACAAAATAAAATATTGACTTCAAAATATAAAGTATTACCTCAATGTAATTCCTAAGAATAAAAAAATAAACATCGCTAATGTGTAAACGTAATTTGTGTAGTAGGTAAGTCAAAAATCTCCTCAGAGTTGCGTCTATTACGAGTTGCGTTCGAACTTCAATGAGGATCAGCACTAAGAACTAGTTTATCACGTGATTAAAACGTAAACGTGATTGTCATCGTGTTTATCATCATTTATCATGTAAACGGGATTGTCACTTATGCTTTACCCTATGACTAACATTTATTCCAGACTGTAGTTAAAAGAACTCACTACAAATAGCCAAAACCCAACCATACCCAAAATTATAAAGCAACAATGCTTTTTTTTATGAAATGATATTGAAAGTGTAGATCCACTGTATAATATAAATAAAAATGTCTAAATTGAATCACTTGCCATTTTAAAGTTGAATAGTACAATAATACTTTGTTGACCATAATTTCAATAAAATATCTGGTCTCTGAAGACAGAAGTTAAACAGCTAAAGAAATTAAAAGAAGAGAGATTAAATTAGGCTAATAAAAAATCCAGAGAGGTTTCATCTGGAACTTAACTTAAGTTTAAATTTGAATTAACTTTTTAATTTTTTATCACAATTTTTTTTGAAATAAAATTTAGATATTTTACAGGTATTTTTAATGAATATAAAAGTAGATGCATGGCAGTAAATAATGGAAAAGAATGTCAGACAAGTGACCACCTCTTGCAGCTCTACAGGCCTCCAATCTTTTAGTAAAATTTTTAACCACATGATGGCATAATTGTGATTTAATTATTGTAATTGACTCAATTATGTTTTCTTTTAAATGTTGAATGGTTTGAGGATTATTATTATAAACTTTTTTTCTAAAAACCCAATAAAAAGAAATTTAATGGTGTTTTTTTTTTCAACATGCTCACTTTCAACAAGGCTGCAAGCAACCACTATTAGAGTTGGAAATTACTGGAAGAGAAAAAATGAAGTTTATAGAGCAAGATTTACAGACAACTTTAAAGATTACAAATTATATGAATCAGGAAAACAAGATGAAGGAAGAGAATTCCAAAGAACTCAAGGAAAAAAACTAAACAAATAAGAATTTTCGGAGTGCTTAGGAATAGTCACAGTAAAAAACTTAATTGAATGACAAGTAACACAAAAATGAATTTTGATAGATAGCACAAGAGACGCTAGCTCTTTAGATCTGTGCCTATTATAGCATTATTATATCATAGCATTTACAGAAAAAAGAAAGAGAAGCAACAATACGATGATGTAATAATGGTTGGAGGTTGGCTGCAAGAGCAGGTCCAACTATGTTTACAATGTATTTTTGCACCTTGTCTAAAAGAGAAAGGGTATCATTGGACGATCCGCCCCAGATATGGCAACAGTAATCCATACAAGGATGGCTTTGAGATTAGAATAGAATCTTGAGTAAGAAAGTGGCGAGCACATTAAAGAGATGCAACCCTAGAGGATGCTAATTTTTAAATGGATTTGATTTTTGTTTCCAAAAAAGATCAAAAGTAAGAGTTAATCCTAGAAGATAATACAATGTAACAACATTATTGTTTATGTTAGATTTTTAATGTTTCTTACATAATTTTGGTATGCTGATTTCAGTGGTACCATTGGTACTTCTATCATCAAGATTTCCTCAAAAAAACATAATATATATTTCAGAGTTTTCATAAATGTGTAATGCATTTATAACATATATTTATATATGCTGATTTTAACTCATTCTCTCTGCTGAGCCACTTACAGTGGCTCGTGGATTTTTTTTTCTCTCTTAGTATATTTTGTCTTTTTTCTATAATCCCACTTTTAATATTACGTTTCCTGATTATAGTTTTTTAGGTATTCAATTGTCACTTCCTTTGTTATTATTTATATTTATTTATGTTGATTTAAAGCATTTTTTAACAAATTAGCACATTTTGGGTACAATTTTTTTAACAAATGCTACTGAGAGAATGAGTTAACTTTATTATTTTGTTTATTTTTAGTTTAAGTAATTACTGTATTATATTATATGAAGTATAAACATAAACTAAACATAAGATTGTCAGTAGTACAAAATTGTTTACTGCATATCATGCATATTTTGGCATGGCTATGGGAGATCAGGACAAATCGTGGGCACCACATTACAGTTGTGGCAGCTGCAGATCAGCTCTGGAAGGATGGCTGCGTGGAATCCAAAAGTCAATGCTCTTTGCGATTCTGAGAATATGGAGAGAACCAACGAACCATCATGATGACTATTATTTCTGCATGGTTGAAATTTCAAAGTATAAAAGACTGAAGGATAGGCTGACTCTAGTTTATCCAAGTATTCCCTCTTCTATTGGACCAGTTCCACACAGTGATGAATTGCCTGTTCCTAACCCACCTCAATCAGAAGAAATAACTGCATACCATTCTGATGTAGATACACGGGATGAACTCTGTGATGACTGTGATTTTAGCGAACCGAATGATTCACCTCATTTCCCAAACCAACAAGAACTTGATGACTTAGTACGAGATTTAGGTCTCACTAAATCAAATGCAGAACTTCTGACATCACGTTTGAAAGAGTGGGATTTATTAGATTCAGGTTACAGAACCTCGAAATACCAAAAAAGACATAAAACATTTGCATCCTTTTATGTAGTATCAGAATCACTGTGCTACTGTCATGACATTCGTGGTCTTTTCGATCACATTAGTGTTGTTCACAATCCTGAAGAGTGGAGGTTATTCATTGACAGTTCAACAAGAAGTCTAAAGAGAGTTTTGCTCCATAGCAAAAACTAATTTCCTTCGATTCCAGTAGCTCATTCCGTTCATCTAAAGGAAGACTACAAGAACATGAAGTTGTTGCTTGAGAAAATCAACTACAACAGTTACAAATAGGATGTATGTGGAGGCTTAAGGATGCTAGCATTCCTTCTCGGTCTACAAGGAGGATACACAAAGTACTCATGTTTTCTTTGTTTATGGGATAGCAGGGCTGCAAACCAGTACTTCATGAGATGTGAGTGGCCAGTGAGAGAACATTTACAGCCTGGTTCATACAATGTAATTAATCAATCCCTGATACCTGTTGAGAAGATCTTACTACCACCCCTCCACAATCAACTAGGTCTTGTCAAATAATTTGTCAAAGCATTAAACCCAGCGTTCCAG